CTACATTTACCTGAACAAGTTATTTCTATTTTTAAACAGCAACGTGAACCTCAGTTCCTCAAAGACAGGTGGAAATAGACCACTGCAATGGTTAGAAAAGCTAGGTAAGAAATGAACAAAAATCTCTTTTGTTCATGCTCTATTTTGAAGTTTCTTGTAATTGTCTCTCGTCTCCTTGAATTCAGAGCAATGCATATGTCTATGCTTAAGCCTAGAGGCCTACAGAAAAGCTGGGGAGGGGCTCTTTGTCAGGTCAGTGCCTACCACTTCTTATTTTTGTTTCTCTGCCTTTTCTTTACATCTTTTCTTTTGTATCCTCTGTGTTTATTGTCCCACCGCAATCCTCAGTTCACACTGCTCCATTCCTATACACTCATCCCTGTTCTAATTACCCCACAGAAGTTATCTTGGCCTTAGTAATGCATACCAACATCCCTTTTTTCATTTAAAAACGCGCAAAACTTCTCCTCACCAAATTATCAAATTTTGTTTTATGTATGGCTAAAGGATGATTCAGTTTTGGTTTGGAAGTGTTGAGGTAGAAGCTTGCTTTTGGTTTTGCCATGCAGTTTACATGCTAAAAAAGTTGAGCATACACTTCTGATATTGGTCATCTAAAAGCATAAGTCTCTCGCATAACTTCAGATTAACATTCCTCCCTGAAAAATAAGAATAGACACAGAATCTAGGTAATGAAACAGTAGTCTGAGGGCTATATCTAGTTACCAGAATAAGTTTCTTAAAGCTGAATCACAGTGTCTTCAGAAAGAGATGCAAAGTTCTCCCACTGTTGTCGTTTGTTACCAAAAAAAAAAACAAAAGCAAAAACACCATACACTTTTTCACTTATAACAGTAAAGATTAGAGTTTTATTTAACAAAAATTTCATTAATTTTCACCTTGCATTTTCATCTTGTACTGTATTATTATACAAGATAACACAATTAAACAGCTTTATTACAGTCAAGATGCAATTTATTTTTTTCAACATCGTCCTAATAAGATTAGGATCACTTCATTACTCATTTGGATTAAAACATCTTAATTTAAAAAAAAAATGAAAAAACAGTCTTTGGTTTCCTCATAGAAAACAATTCTGAGGTTATGCTATAACAAAAGACCACAGCCATGCCAATGAATTGGCTTTAAGCAATAAAATGGAAAAAGGATAGAGTTCTTTTCTACATTAAAACTAGCGGCCAGTTAAAAACTGACAAACGTACAAAAGGACAAGATAATTAACACCTATTAGTTCTCTTTTTGGTCTCTTAATTACAACCTTCTTCCTCATGCTGGCACACTATTAAGAGTCATTTTGTTCCTGCAGTAAGTTAGAAATCTGATGCAGTATTCCTTACTAATGTCATTTATAACAACTGGAAACACTACTGATGTGAAAAAGACTCAGACCAGTCACTCACAGAGTTAATATGTAAGATTACACATTCACAGCAGAAAAAGCCTTTGCAATCTCAAAAATAACTGAAATGAGTAATCAATCTAAGGATTTGCACATGGTAGAAATGAGGAATTTGTAGTGAGACTTCAAATCTTAATCACAAATCTTCAGAAGGAATTTGACATTTTTGTTACGTCTTCATCTCCAGATAGAGCTATATGAGAGGATCTTGACCTTCAGTAAACTGGGGGCCTATATGTTATGAAAAAAAAAATACGTCACAATCTGTGAATATACACCAAAATATCAGAAACTGAAGCTAGCAGTAATTTTTAGGAATGCAGGTTTAACATTTCTAAATCACATTCCTTTCCCAGTTCCTACAGTCAGCATCTGCAATCTGCGTGTCTCTGGTTCCACACAAAACACACTCAGTATCTATCTTTCTTCCTCCATCTGCCTCTTGTTCTAGTTTCCTAGTTCCTCTATCTATCAAGTTTATGTTCTGAGTAATGGGAATTCTAGTTTCTTGAAGACATGTTAGCAAAATATACAGTACCAGTACAGGTACTTTATGAGGTAGACATCAAGAGTGTTAAACACATTAAATATCAGATACAGGACACATTAATATTAAGCTTTCATAGAATTATCATTTAGGTCAGAAAAGACCTTCGTGGTCATCACATCAACCTGTCCTACTGAGTCCCATTACACATCTCAGTGTTACGTTTACAGGGCTCTTATATACCTCCACAAATGGGGACTCCACCGCTTCCCTGTTCCAACACTTGACCACCTTCTCCATGTATATTTCCACATATACAATCTAAACTTCCCTTGGCACAACCCGAGACCTCCCCACATTCTGTCACCTAAGAAAAGAGACCTTGCTGCAACCTCCTTTCCAGTAGCTGTAGTGAGCAATGAGGTCTCTCCCCTCAGACTCCTTTTCTCCGGTTAGCCAGTCATCCATCAGTCACTCCTCATAAGCCTTGTTTTCTGGTCCCATCAACCATTTTTTTTGGTCTTCTCTACACATGCTCACGCAACTCTATATCCTTTGCATTATGAGGGGCCAATACTGAACACATTATTTGAGATGCAGTATCACCAGTGCCAAGTACAAAGGGACAATCACTTTCCTAGTCCTGCTGGCCAATCCGCTTTCTAGCTACTCTTCCCAAGCTCATATCTCTGCAAGTACCCACAATCCAAGTGTAGCACCTGGAACAACAAAGCTTTGTTGAATGTCAAGCAATAGGCTAAATTGGTGGGCCGAGTCCAACTTGCATCCTTCTGCAAAGCCTTCTGACTCATAAGCAGATCAACAGTCCCATCTAACTTGGTACCATCTGCAAATTTACTGAGGGTGTACTCCATCCCCTCATCCAGATCATTGATAAAAATATTAGACAAAACTGGACCCAATACTGAGCCCTGGGGAATGCCACTGATAACTGGCTGCAAACCAGACCGGATTCCATTCACTGTGACTGAATCCAGCCATCAAGCCAGTTCTTCATCCAGTGAACTGTACACCTGACTAGATATTAAAACTAGACATCCTGCTGGTTATAGCTGCACTGACAGATCTACATTTATCCCTATTAGTAACATAATACCACAGAGTTTAAAACTGAACTTAGAACTTTGACTTTTGTAAATAATTATTCCAATTGGCATATACTACCTTTCATCTTGTACAACTGTAAGAAATCTGGTATTTCATTCTCCCCTCTACCTCTTAGATGAGCGCAGCAAAGCCAAAATTGCATAGGAAAGATCTTAAGAGAGAAATTTTATACTCCTATTATTTTGAAGAAGGAAGTCAGCCAAGGGGGCAGATTGGCAAGTAACTCTTTTGGGACTGATGGTCAGGATTCTCCTGCTTTGAAGGCAAACACATGCCCTGCAGCAAAGTGCTGCACTGCATATGAGCAAACTAGTTTTAATCCGTTTAGCTTGGACAATAACAGTCTGTCTTGTACAGCCTTGCCTTTGTGCTGAAATTGTGCATAGTGGCTCAGTAGTTCATGCTTTTTGCCCCAGAGCTTAGTTTGCACCCAGGCTAACTATATAAATGTGGTCAGACTAGGCTTAATGGGATGAAAACACACTTCTGACTACAGCAGACACAATAACTACATTATGATCTAGCCTAAAGCTAATAATTGGACTATATAACATGGCTGCATATATTACATATGTGGGTGAACAGCAATTTTCTTAGTCTGCAGAATTGACAGAGAAACGCAATAGCAAAGACATGGGATATTATCTCTATTTAGGCACCAGCACCCACACAGCACTTCATTGTAGGTGACTTCAGGGTCTCCTTTTGTACATTGAAGCTTAAGACTACCCAAGTTGCTGTATGTCACGCACATACAGCAGAGAGGTAGACATTGCTTGTTTGTTTTGGAAGTGGTTTCTAAAGGTGTGAGAGAAGTTTTACATACCAGTTAGATTTTCTTCCATGGGGTTACAATATAGTTAACAGGCCCACTTTGCATAAAGAAATACTGAGTACTTTCAATAATTCTTTGTCAAGATACATTTAGCCACGTTTCTCCAGCTTAGGGTTTTCTTAGGCATAAAGGCACACAGTGAGAGAGAATGAAAGTGAGTTGGGGTTGCATTGGGTTTGATTTTTTCCTCTTTTATCATCTTGCAGTAGACACTGATGAGGCTCCTGCTAGTACTTCAACATTCAGACCAGCATGCTGGAGTACTGGTCTAGTACTAGTCTTTTTTGTACTAGGCAAAAGAGAAGAGCAAAAGCTTCATCCTGCTTACCCTGGTGCTATACATGTCAGAAGCATACACTTATTAGAGGATAGTAGAGAAGAACTTTCTTTTTGTGCTACTATCTCACGGACTCATATATTTCGTCTTCCAGGATTTGTTGCCTGATCTTCCTTCTCCACCATGCCCAAGTCAGCCACCCTCCCCAAATGCATCAGTGGAAGTACGTGTCAGGTTATATGTCACTGTGCTGTGATTAATTAGCTTGGGGCAATTTCAAAACATGAATTAAGAGTCTGAGTGAAATAGGAGCTGTTAATAATATTTTTTTTTTCCAGTGTTACCTGTGCTATGTATGTGTTGGTACAGTTACTGTGCACATCTGAGGTAGTTTTCACACCCTTTTGGGGCTAAGCTTGAGTTGTGAAGGTAACTAACTTTCATTTTAGAAAATTTAAAAATCCATTTTTCTTGCCCTTCGGTTAGCATAGCTTATGTAGGCAGAAGGCAGGGAAGTCAGTTCTGGTTTTGCAAATTACATTAATTCTTTTCCTGAGCTGAAGTACAGTTCTTTATCTATTCTACATACAGAAATTAGGTTGTGTGGTCATATATTTCTTGCTGATTTTCTACCACACCACATAATATAAAGTACGTGGAAAAGTTTCCTTAAAAAAAGTTAACAGCCTTATTTCACTTATTGCAGTGGTCTACATCCTCTCTAGCATATTACAGCTTTAAGGGCTAAAATAATAAAACACTAACATTTAATAGAGCTTGCCCATATACCTGCAGCATGTGTACAAACAAGAAAAGAGAAATATAAAATGAAGTTTGGAGCTCACAGTCCGGAAACAGAGGGGAAAATATTTTAATTTAACAACTGATCACATTTAGGTATGAAAACATTAAATACAATTTTAAATCTTACTGAAGTGCTTCCAAGCATAGATGGTAATCCAAGGAATACTATGTGCATCTTGAATCACCACATTCAGGAATATTTAATTCCTAGTACAACAGATGCAGAGAAAGGCTTCTAAAATAATAATGGGAATGGATAGCTTATCTTAGGGGAAGGCTATATGAGCTTGACTTATTTATCCCAGGTGGTAAAAGGTGTAGAATGTTGTCTTGTTTCTTTTCCAGCACAACAATGATGTAATTCAATAGGAATGTAAAATTCTGTTAATTTTTATTTCCATGTTATGTTTAGATCATTCTGAATATCCCACCTTTGAACTGAACGTTTAGGTCACTTTGTAACCCCAAAGATGGGAAAGCACCTCTCCTTTTAAACAGCCATTCAGATTTTGAACATCCTGAAATATCTTTCAGAGTATATACATTTATCAGTCAGATCAGACCTAGCCCAGTATGTGAAGAGCTTTCCAACATGGCGACAAAAATCCTGAGTCATATCAAGCTGAAACCTAAAGTCAAGGACAGATTAATCTAAAATGCCTGACATGAGAGGGCATGAAATGGAAGACTTTGAGACAGAGAAGATAACACTAGTACTGTAAATATATAAAATTAAATTCTAAACTGCTATATAAAAGCTTAAATTTAAACTATTTAATTTTACAGCATCACATATTGGAATACTGTGTCTATTACCTGGAAAAGCAACTTGTGTATTTAAGTGACTTGTGTGAGTCAAACACAGAGTTAAACACAATTCTTTCTTCCCAAACAGAATAAGGACACTGTACAGTAAACAAGAAAACCACTCAATAGTCTCAGCTCTCCCTTCAGTAACAAGTGTCAGGATTACTAATTGAGAAATTTAAGTGTATGTTTTCCATTCGAAGATCATATAGATGAATTACATAGGTATAGTATAAGCATGTATTTTATTTTACACTTATTAGAGCTGCCATAGAAATGTTTCCATGAGATGCGTTCTTATGGACTCTGTGTAATTGCCTTGAGGGAGGGAGTATTTTTCTTATCTTGTCTTCAGGTAACAGTCTACTTCTAGAAACATCTCATTTATAAAAGCAGTTGTAATCACAGAGGACTGGTTGGCTGAACAGACATGCCATGGTTATGTAGTAAACATTACTCCTACTAAGTGAGCTAATATTTATGAATGATTTCAGAAGGATTTGCAAAAACAGGGAGCCTTTCCCTAAACCTTTGTCCTAGGGAATAATATATGCGAGTTCTCTATCACAAAGCAGCTTCATAGAAGCATTTGTTAGTGAAGTATCGACACTGTAATTCTTGCAAACTCACATTCTGTTTTACCTGATCCACACCTGGTATCAGCTCCTTATGCATACAAAAAAAAAATAAAATATTTCATGATCATATCAGAATATAGCTGCAGTTAAAGTCACAGAAACAGTTCCTCTCACTGGAAAATTCATTAAAAAAAAATCCCTGCAGTTGTCATAGCTTATGGTTTAATGAATTGGTTCTTTTATTCTTGTTTTCTTTAATTTAAATTCCAGCATGAGATACATAATAAAATGGAGACAGTTATATATTCTACTGCTACATTAAGGTTAAGAAATAAATATGCAAATACAGAATTTCAAATTGCTTTAGAGGCCACGCAGGCAGGCAAAATTTATAAATATGAAAGGAAGTCAGCCCTGGTGAAAACTCATGCAGTTCCACTGACATTCTTAATAAATGTGTATTTTTAGAACCGCATCTATACCGCTTCTGTTAACACTTTGGGATCCACACAGTAGTTCTGCCCTATCAACAGCTTTAAGTGGTTTTCCTTCTCAGGAAGTACCCTGAGCTGTTAGTTGTGACACTTCCTCTTGCTTTACTGAAATAATAACTTAAAATTTACTGCTACTTCAATACAATTGATTTTCATTTTAGTGTTGTTTCCCCCTCCTCCACATTGCTTCCGTTGCTGTTCACAAAATTCTGTTCACAAAATTGCATTTTGTGCTGACAACTGAAAATTGAAAGAAGAGGAATTAAGAAGTAATCAATGTGATCTCAGAATCAGCAAGGTCAGAATCCTGCCCTAAGGAGCAGTCCCTAACAGAGGTGTTAGCACAGATTCTACTAAAGGAATTACGTGTGGTGAGGGTTTGACTTACCTATAGCAATAAGCCACAGTGAAGAAAAGCTTACTTCTGGAGCTCAGACACAGAATTCTAAAGCTGAAAAAAAGACACACATCTTGTTCTTTCCTTATTTCTTGAGTGACTTATACTAACTGTACCAGTTGTTTTCAGTCTACCCATAGAAATTCACCTTCTCCCAATCCATCATCCCCTTTCACAACCCTCCACCTTTCTGAAGTCCTTTAAGAAGCTTCCTTTATGTTTGATGAAAGCTAATGACCAAATACCAGGAATATCCATATTAGAGCTTTTGATTTTGTCAGGTGAGATATTATCATGAGCTCAGTTATCCACTGAACAGTCGGCACACAGGTGCTGACTAGCCACATGCGAGCCCCACATTAGACATATCTGCCTCTTTCCAAGGTGTTAAGGAATATGAGGTAGCTGGCAGTGCTATAAGGGCTCAAAATGGAGAAAAATCACAGTGATAAAGAAAGCTTGAAATTATATTTATCACTGTGTGCAGAGATCAGGCAGAGGGACCCAAATCTCTAGGACACCAGGCTTTTTTAAGTAATCTTTTCACAGAATAACTCATTTCTAATTGGATTCTGCACATTTAGTAAGAACTACACTATAATTACTCTTTTTCTACACAATTATATTTTTGGTTACTGAACAGCAAGAAGGTGGGGGAGTAGTCCAATGAAACGTAAGGTATCTTTGAGGACTCAATGAGCTTTTTCCATTATTTGCACTACAACTAACTTATTAGCATCAAAATCTCACACTGTCCTATCTGGTTTTATAAAATAAAACAATCAGAGATTTTCATTTCTGAGCAGACACTGTCTTGCAAGAGAGAAGTTGATTTCACCTTTCTCACTTAACTGGTTCTATGGAATTTCTTAAAACAGAAATAAATATAAAGAGGAAAATAATCATGGTGAGAGGTAAAGAAGTTTCCATGAATTAGTGCAAGGTAAGAATCTATGAAGCCAAAGTCCTATCAAAAACAAACAAAACAAAACAAACAAAAGCACTAGACTATCAGCTACGCACCACATGGATGGAAAGGACCTGTGGAGGTAATCTGCTCAAGCAGGGCCACATACAGCAGATTGCAAAGGACCACATTCAGGCAGCTTTTGGAGATCTCCAAGGAGGAGACTGCACAGCCTCTATGCCAGTGCCATGCACTGGCAGCCTGGCACCTGAACAGTACAGAAGTGCTGCCTGGCATTCAGATGCAACCTCTTGTATTTCAATTTGTGCCCATTGCCTCTGCTTCTAGCACTGAAAAATACCGAGAAGACGCTGACTCCATCTTCATTGCACCCTCTCTTAAGGTATTTAAACAAACTGATAGAATCCCGCTGAGCCTCCTTTTCTCCATGAGGAAACTGTGCCAGGCTCCAGCCTTTGCTCATAAAAGCAATGTTCCAGTTCTTTAATTGCTTTGGTTCATTGGTATGTTGGACTCTTTCTAGTATGTTCATGTGTCTCTTGTGCTGGACATCATGGAACTAGACACAGTACTCAGGTGCAGCCTCACCAATGATGAATAGACTAGAATCACCTCCCTTGACCTGCTGACATTACTTTGCCTGATGCAGCCAAGAATATCATTAGCCTTCTTAGGGGCAAGGGCACATTGTTGACTCATTGTCAACTCTGTATCCACCAGGACCCCAAAACATTTATTGCAGAGCAGCTTTCCATCTGTGTGTCCCCCAGCATATATCCGGGCATGGCGTTGTTTCTCCACAGATGCAGGATCTTGCAATTCTCCTTGTTGAACTTCATGAGATTCTTGTCAGCCCTGTTCTCCAGCCTGTCAACGTTCCTTTGGACAGCAGCATGGCCCTCTGATGAGTCATCCACTCCCTGCAGTTTCATGTCATCTGAATCTACTGAGGGTACACCCTACCCCATCATTCAGATTATTAATGAAGATGTTAAACAGGGCTGAACCCAGTTCTGACCCCTGGGGTACTCTACTTGTTACTGGCCTCCAACTAGATGTTGCACCACTGACTGCTACCCTTCAGATCCAACCAATCAGCCAGCTTTCAATCCATCTCACTGCTTGTCTGGCCCATACTTCAACAGATTCTCTATGAGGATCTTATGGGGGAGAACAAAGGCCTTACTGAAGTACAAGAAGAAAATATCCACTACCTCCCTTTCATCCATCAGGCTGATCGTTTCATTGTAAGAGCATTTTAGGTGGTTGGCCAGGCAGGACTTCCCCTTGGTGAATCCATGCTGACTATTCATGATGATTTTGTTCTGGTGTCCAGAACTAGCTGGAAAATCATCTTCTCAGGATTTCAGGTGAGGCTGATGCATTTTGGTACTAGGAGTAACATAAGTTTTCCCCCAATCTCCAAGGCAACTGTAAGAAGTGCCTTATTGATCAGGGGTTATTGAGTAACCTCACAATAATATCACCCAGCTCCTTCAGCACTTATGGGTGCATTCCAAAAGGACCCAAGGACTTATGAATGCTTAGTTTATTAAAGTATTCCCTGACCCAAACCCCTTTCACCAAGGGTACATCTTCCTTGCTCCAGCCTTTCACCCTGGTCTCTGGGATTCCTGAAGGCTAGTCTTTCTGGTAAAGACTGAAAGAAAGAAGGCACTCAGTACTTGGGCCTTTTCACCATTCCAGGTAACCAGGTCTCCTATTTCATTCAGCAGAGAGCCCACATTTTCTGTCTTCCTTTTGTCACAAACTCACTTGTAGAATCCTTTCTTATTGCCCTTGGCATTACTGGCCAGATCCAAATCCATTTGGACTTTAGAAATGGCATGCAAATTTACTGTATTTGTAAAGAAAGCTGGATAGGAGGTCAAAGTATTTCCTTCCCCCTTCCTCCTCCTACACTTGCTCCAAAATCCAGATCTCAGTTGATATGCATGTTTTCTAGGAGATTCATCAACAAGTAACTGGAACCATTCAGTGATGAATTAAACTTCCCAGCATCCCAGTAAAAAGTATACAAAATAAAGACAAACTCTCAGCTGTGCCTGAGATCTACTGTTTACAGATACCAGCCAGTATATTTACTCCAGAGCATAGCTTCTATGATTTTTTTCCTTGTGAACTCTACAGTGGTGACCGTAAAAGGGCTGGAAGCTGCACAGATGGATTTGCTATTCACTAACCAGGAAAGAACTGCCTGGCAACAGGATAATCAGCAGTAGTGCTAGCTGTAATGACCCTGACACAGAGGTCAGCATCCTGTTGGGAAATGAAGAAGGCAAAGTACAGGCTCCAGACTTCATGCGAGCAGATTTTGGCTTGATCAGGAAACTTGTAGGTGGAATGTCATGGTAGGCAGGTTTGAAAAGCAAAAGGAGCTCAGGACAGCTGGCAGATCTTTAAGGATAGCATCCTTCAGGCACAAGAGTGATGCATCCCAATATTCAGGCATACTAGCAGATGTATCAGCGACCAGCTTGGCTAAGCAGGGAATTCATGATGGAGGTCCATTACAAACAGGCATTGGAGCTCCATACAGCAACAACCAACAGAGGAATTCAAAAACATTGCCCCAGCATGCAGGATAGTGTCAGAAAAGCTGAAGCTCAAGTGGATTTGAGACATAGAAATAGATGCTAAGGACAGAAAGAAATGTTTCTACTGTTATGCTAGCAATAAAAAGCTGAACAGGGAAAATGTGTGCCCTCTTGCTAAATGGGATAGATAAGTTGATGACAACAGACATACCTGAGGCATGTCTGAGAATACCTGAGATTTCTTTGCCTCAGGCTTCACCAAGAAGGGTTCCCAGGCTTTATGCACCCATCTTCACAGACAACCAAGAGAAATTGCACAGAAAAAAATTACAAGGCAATCAGTTTTCCTTTGATCCTAGGGAAAGTCATGAAGCAAGCCTTCTTTGAACATACTTCTGGCACAGGAAGAAGAAAAACATCATTGGAAACAGCAGGGGTTTACTGAAGTAAATCCTGTTAGACAACCTGATTGTCCTCTGTGATAAGACCAGATTTGTGGATGAAAGGAGAGCAACAGATGTCATTTACCTCAACTTCAGCAAAGTTTTTGACATTGTCTCACACAATAATCTTGTTTCCAAGATAGGACATGATGTGGATGAGTGGATAACCAGCTGAACAGAGAACTGCTTGGATAACTGTGCTCATGGTTAATTAGTTTTACTCTACCTGGAGTCAAGCAACAAGTGGAGTACTGCAGAGATCTATGCTGGGACTTGTCCCTTTGATCTTTATCAATGCAAAGCTTACTCATCAGCTTTGTATATGCACCAAACCAGGGTCAATCAATGAAGTTGTGGGCATGGCTACCATCCAGAGAGAATTGGATGGAGAGAGAGAGGGATGAGTTGATGGGAACTTCGTGAGATTCAGGAAGGACAAATGCCAAGTCCTACACCTGGGAAGGAAGAACCTCATGCAACAAAAAGGCTAGGGACAGAATGGTGGTGGAGTGGCTCTATAGAAAAGAACCTGGAGCTCCTGGCTGACCACATCATCCATTAGACATGAGGCAGCAACGTGCCCTGCTAGCAGAAGCCCACAGTATTACCAGCTGTAACGACAGGAGTGAAGGCATCAGGAGGAAGGAAGTGATTATCTTCCTTGTTTCAGTGCTTGTTAGACTCCATGCTGCATCTGATTTTTGGCACATTAATATGAGAAAACTATTGATTAACTGGAACGAGTCCATGGAAGGATCATGGGGACAGTCAGAGAACTGGAGCACTTGCCACATGAGGAAAAGCTGAGAGAACTGGATCTGCTTCAGACTAGGGAAGAGAGGACTTCAAGGACACATATTAGCAGCCTTCCCGTATCTATGAGGAGGTCAACAATGCAGAGCCAGGCTGCGCATAGTGGTAGCATAGTGAGAGGATAAGAGGCAGCAGGTGCAAGTTGAAACAAGAAAGAATCAGAATAAGCAGTGAGATAATATATAAGACAGTGTTTAATCCTGAAGACAAGAATTCAGAAAAAAAAAGTCTAAACCACTGAAATCTTAACATAGAGACCACAAAACATAAAACAATTCTACCTAGTTAATCCACACAAAGAAAACACAAAGA